TATCCCTTCCCTTTTTTTCGGATGCTTCTGCTGCGGTGCAGCTGCAGGAGCTGCTTTTCTAAGTGGAGTGGAAATGACATCTGCATACGAAGGGGCAACTTTCATAACAGTGGCCGGAGTGATGGGGGTTAGAGTTTTTTTCGGCAGTGGAGATTCGTCCTCCTTGGAAGGAATGACCAAGCATCTGCAGCACACGATCTTCAGGAATATAGGGGCATATCTGTAGCCATTCGTATTTGTCTGTGTCGCTTTGGGTGCATTTGAAGCGCAGCAACCCATCAACCACATCACAACGGAGCCCTTTAGCCCTGGGGCCAACACTTATGGAGCAGGATACATACATGTTTTGGGAAGCCTCGCTCTTCTTGAGACATTACCGATGGAATAGATTCCGTTTAGTGCACAAAAACCACAATAGAATAATCCAATTTAGCACACGGTGGGAAAAACCGGTGTGCCGCAGACAGAGGTCAAGTGAAGCCAGGTCGGTGTGGCTGAGTAAACGACATGTCAGCGAGAAAAGTCCGCGTGCAAGACAATGACCGGCGGTAACCGGTGCGTATCGATCGTTGCGACTGGAGATGGAGGGAAGGACACACGTGAAGACGCGATGGAGAACGGAACAGAATTGAGTAACACAAATTATACCCGTGGCTCTTTTAGAAATGATCACACAGAGCTGAATAGAATCTCCTTGAATAAAGCGTAGAATTTCCTTCAAACTGATATCATTATGAGGGTAATGCGTGGAACTTCGAACAAGTTTACACGCGTGAATAAGATGAAGAATCCGCTCCGAACAGCCGAACGGCGGGAACGTGAAACACGTAGGGTACATATCCAAGGGGGTGATATCACTCAATGTAGGTCACCGAATTGAGACGAATGAGTAGGTGAAGATATTTTCAGTAATTAAGGAAAATGATAGTTTGGAAAGCTAAGATTTTAATAATCCGGTGGATAACAATTTCTACCTGGTCACTTGAATTCAGTTTATTAAGATGAAATGGGCTGATCGAGGTCCCGTGGATCGAATAGTGACTCCTACTTCTCTCTTCAAATAAGCTGACGATTTGGTTTTATGTCAGACCATCTCCGATTCTTCTGGTCTTTCACAATTTTCTGACAACTTGGAAAACGTTCAACAATCTTCCGCCACATCCGGCCTCTCTCTTAATCCCTCCAAATGTTTCGAATGTCTCTTTACACTATCAAGCTCTTCTTTCCCATTTGAACCGATATCGATTGACTCTGAAACAGTATCCCGGGTAAGCTGTATTATTTTTCATTGATGCTAATCATCATTGGACAGCTCACATTCAATTTATCGTCAGTAAGCTTCGAAATCTTTCTTTTCAAACCCGAAAAGTTCGTCAGTTTCGTATTCAACAATCAACTATTTCCAAAATGGTGTACCAGTGTGTTTTCTCCGTTTTATTTTATTATTCACCTGTTGTTTTTTTCCAATCTCCTAAAGAATGATTTCAAACTGCATCGACGTGGACTGAACATTCTTAGCCGCGTCTTTATAATCCCGCTGAAGGAGATGGTAACTAACCTGTACGAACGTCATTTGAATGCATGTGTAAACACTGTATTTATGATTCTGATCAAGTCTAGACATACACTACACGCAGAATAAACTTCCTGTTGTTCCCATCTGTCAACTGGATCCCTATGCTGTTCTGTTCCGTCTGAAATAAACATGCATCGCAACTCTACAGTACCCGCATTAGCACGTACTCTAGTGAACAAACAACAGGTTTTCATATACTTTGTTGACAGTTTTGGGATTTCATTTTTTTGGTATTATTCGATTTTCTCCCTCTCACCAACTGGTCTTTTCCTAATTGAAATGTAGGCTTTGTGCCTACAAAAGTTATATTGCAATAACAAAAAAATCACAGGAAAGCAAAGCCTGTGCTCGAATCTCAGCACCTCCGCTTCACGTTCCCACGTTGTGATTACTACTTCGTTTTAATATAGAAACACTATTTCGAATAGTTCTTCCAACTACTAAAATCTTAATTGTCCTGTAGCTTGCAATTTACTATACCAGATGCAAATATGTGCATTTTGCAACAAGATCTGAGAAATCCTGGGGAACACTTCTGTGATCATGAATACTTATATTTACAAAATTGAAGTATTCTGTGTTGGTAGTCTAATCCAAGTGTAATAAGGCTGTTGCACGTGTGAAACCACGTCATACAGCGCGGACCACAACCGAGCTTGCGTGTGTGTTCCGGTGGCTATCAGTCAATCAAACCGGGTGATCGGATGCGGACAGTAACACATTCCGATCAATCGATGTACTGAGACATACAAAGACAGACGGAGGGATAAACAGTTCATGAATGTCTAATATGCTCCACCTAATCACGGATTAAATGTGTCCTAATGGAATTCTGATTCTATTCAGTGTGTTTCTTGTTGTTTCTGTGATCAAATGGACACTGTAGTTAGGTCTCAACCAACCACGCAAAATGAGGAGCTCAAACGCAGTAATTAAACCACCATGCAAAGAAGGGTAACGCATGAAAAAAGTGAATTTGTGCACAGCACCCGGTTTAGCTTTTCCAAGGTGACTGGGAAATGGTGGTCCACGTATAGCATGGCAAGCTGAATTGGAGATGTGATATCCACACAACACGCTCACTCTTAAAAACAGGGTAATCGTGAACGCTGTACGATATGTTTGAAAAAGAAAAGGTAGAAAGATCAAAGCTATTATGATGGTCCACGGGAAAGGTGTGACTGTTAGACTGAATCGCTCGTTGGTTTCTTTTTGCTTTCCATGGCTTTGGGAAATCCATGATATTGATTTTTAAACTTGAGAAACGCCCAACAGCTGATTATCACTTTCATTGAACCGAGTGTATTTGGGGGAGGGGGAGTACAAAACTCGATTTGTCTTCTGTGACTCACGCAGTACTGTTTGATTTCCGATCAGTGTGATACCAGATTTTATCAACGACTTCATTTCCGTCTTTCAATATTCTTCACTTTGAAAAACCACGTATCTCTGTAAGTCAGCTATGGTTTATATTTTTCGGTTGGAAAGTTAGTAGATCAATAAATGAGTAAGGAGTAAGCGAAACAAGTACAAGTATTTGAAGATAAAGATACAGAATGCAGGCCAACAAGATATGCGTGGCGCGGGGGTACGAGTGCCGCTGTTTATGATGCGCAGTCCTATCCGTAAATGTAACAAAGACTAATTAGGTTTACCACGCGGTTCTGGAGGCCGGAAATGTAAGTGAACTATGTGGCCATTTCCTCATTTTAGGGATTACACATCCATACCACATGAAAGTTTGACCATTTGTGGTCTTCTCCCGAGCACTACTGGCATCGGCAAACATCACATGCCGAGGAAACCTGTATGATTACCGGTGTGTAGACCTGTTCAAGATGCCGTACCATGGACTCCAGCTTTTGGAGTGATCGGTGAACGTTTAGATCTCGTCCAGTTTATGCGAAATCACTAGTCGATAAAGGCGCCAGAGCGGTTTAATGGCATATGTACATCAGAGTTGCATCATATCATCATCGTGGATTGCCTTATGACTCGATGGACCGCACTGTCCTTGAAAGGTATCCCGAAAAGTACATCGATTCTGTACGTTCGCGGAGTTCGTGATCGTGGTTCATTCTTTTTGTCCAACATCATCACGAAAACCGGTGATCATGAGTATTTCACCTTTATTTCTTTCCTTTTCAACTGGTTAGCAGATCTGATGTTGGAAATCGCTGTATTCTCGTAAACGAATCATGATATTAATGCGTTCTTAAACGATATTGCATTTGATCCCGAATTTACTGACGTCATTCTGTAGAGCCCGGAAAATATATAAATATACATCAGACGAACTGTTGATGTTTCCCAGAATGATTATGAAACGTCAGCAAACAACACCAGCTTAGGGAGCCCTCGAACAACAACATCTGCATCCGATTGCGAAAGTGGCTTCGAACAAAGTGTGAAAACTATTTTGTCTGGTGTCAGTTTGAAGTTGATGTTTGCGCGTCTTGTACGACATCCGCAAAAAAATGGTCATTTCAGTTTCTACACTTTCGAACGTTCTGCTAGATGGTTAAATAGAACGAGGTCATTTGTAGAAATCAAATCAATCAGATCTGAACTGCAGGGAACAAACAGAGAGAAATTCTAACCTGACGGGGAGTGAACCAATCCACTGTCGAAGTAGGCAAGCACGCGTGTGTGCGTGCGCGCGCGCGAGTGCGTGTGCAGTGTTTGCACGGGCAAGCGTCCTTCGCTTAATTTCAGTAGCCAGACAGGTCAAAGGGAATCGGGTAGAGCAAAGCTATTTTTTCAGATATCTAAGTGAACCAACGAACAATCGCGTGAGTGTCTTGATTGTGGTGATAGGATGTTGATCAGATTCGGTGAGAGAAACAGAACAGTCAAAATCGAAGTCTATTCCAATCGATTCAAACTGACATTCTTGGAATTAAACTGAAAGTTACGGGGTCATATCCACTATATATGTAGGTTAATTGTCACTTAGAAATCTGAATCGTTGTCGTTACCAAAAATTATACTTACCTAAAATACATAAACTAAACATGAGTGTTCCTTGCGACTGGTTCCTGTGTGGAGCATTTTTTGCAGTATGTACTGCCCCATCTAAACCGTAGTATAGCCATGCTTAGATTACTTCTTAAACGACTAAATGTTTGTCAGTGTAGTTTGGTAGTTTTGTGGTACTGCATGGCAGTTTAGGAGCATTCATGCTTTCAGTTGTTGGAAACTATGCAACGCCAAAAGCAGTCGCGAAACAAACAAATTATGCAATGTTTTTGTGAAAATGAAAAAAGATCGTAGTGATTAAACTCAGGAGATATCTATCGGAATGCGAATATTCACAAGACTGCAGAGATTTGAGAACATAAATGGTGGGACGGCAATCTTTTCAGCCGATCCAAATCCAATAGTCGAAGTTCATTATCCTTACTTGCTTCAAAGACCGAAATCATTAGGTTCTTGACGATGCCATGGAATAGCCACGATGCTTTCGACGATTATTTGGCCAATTCCTTGTTGCACAAACCATCGCCTCTGGAAGAAGTTTAAATCGGCGGTGCGCAATATCTATGTCCCATTCAAAGAACCCGGATGGATAAGCACATTGGTCTTGTGCCCGAGCCTAGAAAAACCACCACCATAAGGGTATCGGAATAGCTGAACCGGATGTCCCGTAAAACATGAAGGGTATACTTCAGTTTACAGCACGCCTAAAGTATGGCTCTAAAGCAAGTGGGATTACTCAGACGTGTTTTCGGGCAGTTCAAAAGAGCCCCGTTCCCACGCGTGGTATCAGCGTTCGTTCCGCCACACATGGAGTATGCCGTTCAAGAATGGAATCCATGGTTGAATCGCGACAAGAAGGCTCTAGAACATCTGCAAAGGCTGGCAACGAAATTGGTACAAGGTCTGTACAGCAAGACATACTCCGAAAGACTGCAAATATTGGGATTATACTCATCTCAATACCGCCGACTTCGGGGGGACCTAATCTTGGCATATCACATACTGCATCAATCCAACCATCCTTGCCGTTCTGTGCTAATTTATTTCAAAATTATTACCTCAGGGGACATATACTAAAGGTAAAGACCCAGAACAGCCACCTTGATTCCCGGCATCACTCGTTTGCAGTTAGTGTGCGGCGTATGAAATTCTCTTCCATGCGATGTAGTGTGTGCTCCTACAATCGAGTTATTTAAATCGTTACTTGATAAAGCATTGGAACACTTAAAATTTCGACATCCGTGACTGATCATGCATATTGTTATTATTATTATTTTCTCTTTGTGAAGTTATTCAAAATATTCTGTAAAAATCCTATGGTAAGCTTTAGCTTTGTTAAATCGCCCATAATAAAACTTTGACTTTGAACGTATCAGGGCGATACGTTTCAATCAAACATTCAATACGTCGATCGATAAATACCTGTTCCCCCGGAGCTGGAAGATGATGAAAGAAGCAGAAACATGGAAGGTTTAGATTGCTTTTGTATGCTCCAATTATTTTTGGTCGCTCCACAAGCACGGACCAAATCACACCTGTGCTGCATGAGAACCGATGTCAAAGCTCAAAGTGCATACAAAAAATGTTTTATCCTAAGTACACACCCAGATCATAGTCAGCATAATGGTTGAAACCGGATTTTATTGTTTTGTCTCATCCGAACAGTCACTGGCGGACACGCACACACACACACACGTGTGCGTGCCATCGTGCGATTGATCGACCCATAAAGACACCTGCCGGTCAGCGCAGACACGCTGTACAAACATTAGTAACCTTTAAGCTAGATCTAACTGGCTGAACAGATTTTCTCGCGCGCAGTTCGCATTTAACCTTACAAACGACTTGTGTGCTTACACTTCTACTTGCTCATGGAACTATGTACCGGCTACACCTGCATGCCTGAAGCTGAAAAAGAACTGGTTGCTTAAAAGTGCGAATACTGATTTGTATAACGGAGACGGAAAGATCTATAGGATTCGGACTCACCTTGGCCCATGCGTAATCAATCGGGACCGGACGTGGTTTACGTTCGGGTTTGGGGATCAATTTACCGGAGGAGACCAGGTCCGTGTAGATTTTGCTGCGAGAAAGCCAAAGGGCGAGTAGAGAAAAACACACAACGGGCATCACAAATATTAGCATGGTTAATTTTCTCTTATCTAGTGTCCATAATCGGATTGCTGTGGGGGATATTTTTCTACACAATGATCAATGAAGCCTCGATATCATTAAAATCATAAAAATCGTATTTATTCGACAACCAAGATGGTGTGAGCTGGTTGGCACAGGGGTGACATGCAAGCCGACCACGTGGTATGTTCCGAGTTCAAAGCCCGAATAGGGCATTGAATAAGCACTACTCATGAGCTCTAAGTAGAGAGAAACCCTAGTCTACTGTTCTCTGAGTGGATGGTTGACTGGACGAGCTGAGGATTATATGTGAGGATGAAGTCTGAAGGATGCTCCATTCAAATCCATTTTACTTGTCCAAATCTACTACGCGCGATTAACTGTGCGTTAATTTATGAAACAAGTTTGTAAAAATGCTAGTTACCAATGTAGGCCGATTGTGTGCAACAAAAATATCGAGACACTGAATTACCAAGGTCTTTTTTTATCTCGATTCCTCCAACCTGCTCAAAAATGTCACTACACACTCCATTCATACTGCTGCGCATCGCTTTGCGAACCATCACGTTACCATTTTCCCACTATACGTTCAAGGTGGTCTTGAGTAGATCGAACAAATTATGGGTCTTGGCATTTTAATGTACTCTTTTGGTCAACAATCCTCAGATGTTCCCATTTAGGTAAGAAATGCAGGTGAGCAAATCATAAAGGGAGAGAGGACAAAAAGTTAGTCCACCTTTGTCTATATTACGTCCCGTGATGAGTTCAAACAATGCTGTCCAATCCACCCTTCTGGTGAGGAAGTTTTTCAATCATACAGTGCGATTTGTCGTGTTTAGAGCAAATTAAGTGTGATCTGAAAAGCTAAAAATCAATCTAAACCTGTTTTGACATGATTAGGTCTCAGCAGCAGCACGAATCTATCGGCTCAATCATGGACAGAACCCAGGTGCTGAGATGAGCTAAGTGCGATGCCTGCAGCAAGCTCACAATGATAAGCTTTCCTAACTCGTGTAGAAGGAAAATGAAAAACGGTATGATCAGCTGCCTGGTGACCGAGTGGGTAATGTGCTTGCAATATAACTGTGAGTTTTCGGGTTCGATCCCCAGTTGGGTCGATCGATTCGCACTGCTGATGAAACCCGATCAGATCGCAATACGAGCACAGTGTATCCTAGCTTTTCAGTTCATGTTTGATTTGCTCTACCCATTACGAATTCCACCATATAATTGAATCGAATCCTCCCCTATTCTCGCGTAATTACTGAAGTGTTTTACTGTATTGAATTGTGTTTGTCCTCCCGGGTTACCAACTAGCTCCAACAAACCGCGGAAAAAGCAACCAAGACGAAAATTTATAGTTTGTCACATTGCAAATAAAGTGGAATTTATTACTTGCTGGTTTCATGCTTATAACAACGCAAATTATCTGTTACGTCTCGGTGAAACCTTTCCTGTAAGTAGATAGAGATAGGTGCATCTAAAATGACTTCCCTCATCCCTGAACTCAATATTAATTTTGCATAAGCACGAAGTACCTCACCTTCTGGTTTCTCGGGTACAGTGTAAACCGAAGTAGTAATTCGCCTTCTAAGTACTGTCAGGGAGAACAACAAAGTGGGGAAAAATGCTTGTTTCACTCATTGCACTCTCGTCTCAATGCGGCAGTGGACATTTTTTCATTTTCTGAAAATGGGTATGTTGCGCAGTGATGCTGAAATTCAAATGCACGACTCCCATCAAGTTTCCCTGGTCACCTAGCTGTTCGGTGATCAAACGAGTGGTGTACCTGCGATCTATCTGTGAGTTCCTGGGTTCGATCCTCAGCTGGGTCGATGGATTCGCACTGCAGATGAGACCCATTCAGGTCGAAACAGCTGCACAGTACATACGCGCTTGTCATTCTACGTCTTCTGTGCTCCTTAAACAACGAATTTTCCATGAAACCGAATCATACCCTTCTTGAACCAAGACCTTTTTCTACAAAGGTTGTTTAACGTTGAATCGTATGACAGTCTGCGCTCAGGTAGAT